ATCCCTTCAGAAGAAGTCCGGAAGTGACGAAACGCGTTAGAGGAGCGACGTCATCACGCACGCACGCTAACCAGAAGTGTCGCCGCGGCCATTTTGTTGGTTGGAAACATGTGGTTTCCAACCTGGAACTTGAGAGATTAATACTGGAAGCTGGATTTCCCTGTTTTATATGTAAGTTACTATTAAAATTTGTCCCTTTTTATGGATTCTGCCTAAGAGCTTTTTATGCTTCTATGAGGAGTTGGGAGGAATGCCCCTGAAAATGAAGGACTGAGAGATACGGATTTCCTATGTCAGCCCATGCTTGAAAATACTGGAAGAGGGTAATAGTACCTGGTATCATTCTTTGGCTGGAGTTTAGAGGGTACTAGTACCTAGTATCACTATTCACTTGTGATTGGAGTGATCACGTTATTCTCACGATTTTGGGCTTTATTTATTTATTTATTTATCTATTTATGTGGATTAATATATATCTAATTAATTTTTCACAAATTTTTGGTGTGTTTTTGTGTTGTGCACAGAGTGAAGTATATATACATTTTTTTAAAGGGTAATACACTATGAATTTTCTTTTTTTCTTTCTTTGAGGTATCATGGAGTTTTAGAACCAATTTCTGCTTTACTGGATTGAAGTGAAAAAATTTGGAACTTGGACACTTTGGGTCTATTGGATATAATTTTCATACATATTTTTACATATATATTTTTTTTTTTATTTTTAATATTTGGGATTTTTTTGGGATTTTGTGTTTTAAGACGGAATTGGGTGTGGATTTATTTATACATAATTTAATTGAAGTCATATTGATTACATTAATAGTTGGAGTTCTTTTTGGGGGATTTATATGTGTATCACAAAAAGGATTTATTAATTATTAAAGTCCAAGATCTAATAATAATTAATAAATCTGTGATACACATATAAATCCCCCAAAAAGAACTCCAACTATTAATGTAATCAATATGACTTCAATTAAATTATGTATAAATAAATCCACACCCAATTCCGTCTTAAAACACAAAATCCAAAAAAAATCCCAAATATTAAAAATAAAAAAAAAAATATATATGTAAAAATATGTATGAAAATTATATCCAATAGACCCAAAGTGTCCAAGTTCCAAATTTTTTCACTTCAATCCAGTAAAGCAGAAATTGGTTCTAAAACTCCATGATACCTCAAAGAAAGAAAAAAAGAAAATTCATAGTGTATTACCCTTTAAAAAAATGTATATATACTTCACTCTGTGCACAACACAAAAACACACCAAAAATTTGTGAAAAATTAATTAGATATATATTAATCCACATAAATAGATAAATAAATAAATAAATAAAGCCCAAAATCGTGAATAACGTGATCACTCCAATCACAAGTGAATAGTGATACTAGGTACTAGTACCCTCTAAACTCCAGCCAAAGAATGATACCAGGTACTATTACCCTTTCCAGTATTTTCAAGCATGGGCTGACATAGGAAATCCGTATCTCTCAGTCCTTCATTTTCAGGGGCATTCCTCCCAACTCCTCATAGAAGCATAAAAAGCTCTTAGGCAGAATCCATAAAAAGGGACAAATTTTAATAGTAACTTACATATAAAACAGGGAAATCCAGCTTCCAGTATTAATCTCTCAAGTTCCAGGTTGGAAACCACATGTTTCCAACCAACAAAATGGCCGCGGCGACACTTCTGGTTAGCGTGCGTGCGTGATGACGTCACTCCTCTAACGCGTTTCGTCACTCCGGACTTCGTCTGAAGGGATCCCTTCAGAAGAAGTCCGGAAGTGACGAAACGCGTTAGAGGAGCGACGTCATCACGCACGCACGCTAACCAGAAGTGTCGCCGCGGCCATTTTGTTGGTTGGAAACATGTGGTTTCCAACCTGGAACTTCTTGAGAGATTAATACTGGAAGCTGGATTTCCCTGTTTTATATGTAAGTTACTATTAAAATTTGTCCCTTTTTATGGATTCTGCCTAAGAGCTTTTTATGCTTCTATGAGGAGTTGGGAGGAATGCCCCTGAAAATGAAGGACTGAGAGATACGGATTTCCTATGTCAGCCCATGCTTGAAAATACTGGGAAGAGGGTAATAGTACCTGGTATCATTCTTTGGCTGGAGTTTAGAGGGTTTAGTACCTAGTATCACTATTCACTTGTGATTGGAGTGATCACGTTATTCACGATTTTGGGCTTTATTTATTTATTTATTTATCTATTTATGTGGATTAATATATATCTAATTAATTTTTCACAAATTTTTTGGATGTGTTTTTGTGTTGTGCACAGAGTGAAGTATATATACATTTTTTTAAAGGGTAATACACTATGAATTTTCTTTTTTTCTTTCTTTGAGGTATCATGGAGTTTTAGAACCAATTTCTGCTTTACTGGATTGAAGTGAAAAATTGGAACTTGGACACTTTGGGTCTATTGGATATAATTTTCATACATATTTTTACATATATATTTTTTTTTTTATTTTTAATATTTGGGATTTTTTTGGATTTTGTGTTTTAAGACGGAATTGGGTGTGGATTTATTTATACATAATTTAATTGAAGTCATATTGATTACATTAATAGTTGGAGTTCTTTTTGGGGGATTTATATGTGTATCACAAAAAGGATTTATTAATTATTATTAGATCTTGGACTTTGTCAGGACTGCGTGAGGTCCACAGTACCCAGCTTTTAACACCTCACTGCTTATTCATATTATATTCTGCCAGCAATATTTTAACTTTTTATGTATTTCTATTGGATTTGTAATAAACTGAGCTTTTGTAATATATTGCTTTGTCCTCGCATATTACCTACTAATGTGGTTACCTCCCTGATTTTATGTAGCACTCAGGATAATGTCCCTTTAAGTACTGGTGATGACACTGCCTCTGGCCTCTTTAGCATTGGTAAAGTCACTGGCTCTGTGATACTTGTAAGGCAGCACTGTCCCTCTTTTGTCAAGGTGTAGTGCAGGGTTTACCTGTGGGTTTTCTCACCAACTTCCAGTGCCAGCAGGTGATCTCCCTCTGTCCAATGGGTGAAGTACAGCCAATCTATGTCTGCAGCGTCCTTCCCCCTGATCAGGCAGAAAGCTCTATCAGCATCTGTGCTGCTCTCCGTTGTCCCAGAATGTCTGCCGCTGTGCCTCTCTCCCTCTCAGGTGAGTGGTCTGTTAGCAGCCTGATACTCAGTCCTCTCAGAAACAGCCTCCACATTTCTTCACCTTAACTCAGGAAATTACCCCAGTGCCTTGTGGGATTTGCAGTTTACTTCTTCCAGCTCACTTTGTCCGAACTACACTCCCACAACCCATGCAGTCTGCATTCTGTGTGCCCTCCTATTGAGTAGAGGGCGAGCATAACACTGGTTGTACACAGTGTACAATAAACGTTTCCTCCTTTAGCCGCACCCCTGTAAACGTCTCTGCTGTCAGATACAGAATCCTTTTCCTGTCATTGCTGCAGACTGGAATACACTATATACTGCAGGAGGATAAAAAAATTACTAGTGGGGATTGGCGACAGCGGCTACAGGCAGTTGCAGAATATTGGCTAATATTTGTATGTGTGTAGTGCTACCCCCGCAGGGGCTGCTTGATAATTCTTGTCCCCAGTGGTAGCCCTGACCTTGCAAGCCTCTCGACACCTCTGACACTCTGGGTTCAGACATAGTTCAACAGTATAGAATAATAATGCAAGATATACAATTCCTTGGTAACACCTCTATATTAAACTTGTTCAAAAGAGTAGGCTACAGGAATAATGGGTTTAGGACATACAACCCCAGTTACCAAATAAAATCAGAGCACCGGTGAAATATCAATCATCAATAAGCAACATTTAACAAATTATACAGTCATGAGCAGTAAGATTCAACTATTAAATTGCAACATCAGTAGTAAGAGGGGGAAGAAAAGGCTTTTTGATTTATCAGCTCCCTCCATGCCACCGGCGCAGCAACAGGGCATGCAGAGAATTATGTAAATGTATAATCAGGCATAAATAGATATAAGTACCCTAAGTTGCATAACAATGGCCTTAGAAGAGAAAAGGTCCCTTTACTAGAGATTGCTACTTGAGTTCTGCGATTTGTAATGTTCCTGATATGGTGGTATCTGCTGTCTTCTGCTAGCAATGGTGGGGCCATTAGGCATTAGTGAATGCTGGTAATTCAATTAAGTTAAACAGATAAGCCATGGTACTGCTCAAAGTAAAGGTCTCCTGGTAACTAAGATGTAAAGGTGTCTACATGCAGAGTCTCTAGAGCAGGGGTGGCTAACCTGTGGCTCTCCAGCTGTTGTGGAACTACATTTCCCATGAGGCATTGCAAAGATGGGAAGTTACTGACTTGCAGAGGCATGATGGAACTTGTAGTCCTGCAGCAGCTGGAGAGCCGCAGGTTGGCCACCCCTGCTCTAGAGTGATAACAGAAAGAGGTTGGGCATCTGCCTGCTCACCAAACCTATGGCCACAAATCCTATGGTCTACAACATGGTCTTCCCCTTTTAGCCTATAGCATGGTCTTCTAGGAAAGAGAGTTCTTGCCCAGGCTCTTGGCTGTTTACAGAAAGTTACCACCTGACGGTGTGGTGAGCAGAGATCTCTGTGTCAAGACCGGACAGTGACAGTCCCATTGCAAAGAAGCTGATGTGATCCCGGTGTGGTGATCAGCATCACCACTGTGCTGAACTGATGTGAAGAGTCCTGCAGCAGTAGGCCAGCAATCTATCTCTGGAGGAGAACGGCAGTCCCCTGTGTTCAGCTCTGAAACCCAAGCCAAGAGAGAGAGCCAATCCTTTGCTATAGAATATATCTGCTTTCTCAGCATCCTTCTTGTTCCCCAGCTCCCTGGTAGTTGTCGTTCAGTCAGCACTCAGGAATACAGGTTGTATTGGCTGTAGGACTGTAAGATCCTCTGCTGTCAGAAAAACTAAAACCACTCTACTCTGTTAATTGACTTTGTCATTCTGACTCCTGTTTGTATTTTTACAGCAACCCCAGGTAAATCAGGTGTCATTCACAAAGTCATTTCTTTTGTTGAGGGAGGGACAACAGCTTTTGCTGCGAAAACTCAATGCTAAACTTGAACATAATGAAAAAATTGACATTGATGATTTCGTGGAATGGGCTGCTTCCCTAGACAAAAATCCTGTGATTTTAAAGTCTAAGGTAAGTTTATTTTTTATATATCTCCTTCAATGTCACAGAGGAATTCTACTTGCTGCAAAATGATGCAGCAATTGGTATTATATTATATTGGCAGTTAACATTTTTTGTTTCCTATCACCTCCTTCTTAGCATATACTTTATGGCAGTCTGTTGGTTTTAAACAAAAAGTGTTTAGTAATAAGTCTGCGGGCTTGTCTGTGACTACTACCCTTGCTTTTCTTGTTGCACCATGTACATGGGATTACATTCTCCTTTTCTGTAGCTTTCAAGAGCATGTTACTGTTTACAATGGTATAGGAACAGAGGCTGCAGCAGCAACAACTGGACCCCTATTCAAGCTGGCTGCCCCGTTTACTGCCATGTCCTCGGCAACACTTAGGAATGTATTTTTTTTAAATTCCAGAGCTATCTGTCCCACAAAACTGCATATACATTCAATCTGTGCGAATGGGGGCAAAATTAAATGTTACTGGCAGGGGTGGACTGACCATTTGGGAACTCGGGCACTGCCCGAGGACCTGGGGTCAGTAGGGGGTCCCATGAGATGCCCCTGGTACCTTTCATAGGCTTTTTTGGGTGTGGTTTGAGTATGGGCGAGGACACAGGGGCCCCATGATCCCCTATTGCCCCATGAGTTGTCATTCCGCCCCTGGTTACTGGGCTATTGTTGCTCCAGGTCTGATGTTCTTCCTTCATAAGAAAAGCATGAATCAGGAAAATACCACATTATAGCCAATAGATGGAACTAATGATCATAGAAAAATTATTTCTTTTTTATTGATAATTTGCTCCATCGAGTGGCAATAATGCAATATTTGTTTAGATGCATGCTAGCCTTCATGAATGAAGAACAGTGCTGCTGATAAGGCAGTTCAAAAGGGGGGCCCAGGCACCTGCCGAGCAGGAGGACCAGCTGTACTGCCTTATTGCTGGCACTGATGTTCTTGTGCTTCACCCTGCAGAGCTGCTGACTTCCCCTCTTTCTCCTTCTGATGACATTGGGGAATCAGTTCCAGTATCCACCCCCTGCTGTACACCCCCCTCCCCCTTGTGTCTCCCAACCCGCGTGCCTCCCTTCCCACTGTGCTATCGGCTTCCCTCCTCTTCCACTGGAAGCTGCTGCAGGCACACGGGTATGTTTCAAGATAGAGAGCGAGCCCTTCCTTTCCTGAATGAACACCGTGAGCAACTGGTACCAATCACTCACTGTGTCCATTCATAACTAAAGCACCGTAATCTGTGTTTGCTATGCTTCAGCTTGTAAATGAAGCATCAGAGCGCTTCCCATTCATTCACTGTCCAGTGCAGAGAAAGGGAGTGATAAATATGTGTCCTCAATCCCTTTCTTAGTCTGAAATGTGAGATATCAGGGATCTGTTTAGGCCCCTAATATTTCACCAAAGCCCCCCAAAATGACAGGTAAAAAATGTAAAAATAAAAAAAGAATGAAATAATACAATTCTAAAAAAAAATGTGAAAAATTGAACATTCTAAAAAATAATTTAAAAAAATTAACCTGCATTTGGATCGCAATTCAGAGAGCATTTGACAGGCAGTGACGAGGCATATTGCATGCTGCAAGTGCGTGAATGGATCTTGTTCAAAAGGGGTATAATTTCTGCCATGGCTGCGAAGCATGGCATTGTGGCTGTGGCATTTGTATACTCCTAGCCACTGCCTCTGTTGCCAAACAGGGTAGCGATTGGTTGGCAGTAACCAAGGGAGTTTTACCCCTAAGCTCATATTTGAATGAGCCCCGAGGATTTACACAGGTACTCTGGCCATTTGAATAAGTGGATTGTTTATGCGGCTGTAACTCTAAAGCAGTGGTGGTGAACCTGTGGCACACGTCCTCTGTGTCGGCTCGTTAGCCAAGTCACCCCAGCATCACCCCAGCAGCTGAGTATCAGATAACGGCGTACATGTGGGCCAATGTGCATGCTCGGAAAGCAGTAGTAGCACCAGGCGATGGCATCACAAGCCGCAACTCATTAGCCATGACTCATCCGAGCTTTTGCATGGCCAGTCAGTGCGCTGCCAAGGAAATTATATTTATATTTGCTTGGACATCAGAGAGGACAAGGGGGCTCTCTTTATGTCTGGAGGAAAATAAATTTAATCTCCAAACGCAGAAAGGTTTCTTCACAGTGAGAGCTTTGAAAATGTGGAATAGACTCCCTCAAGAGTTGGTTCTCGACAGCTCAGTGGATTGCTTCAAAAAAGTCCTGGATTGTTTATTAGATACACAGAATATAACTGGATACTAACATTTATAGGTAAAGTTGATCCAGGGAATATCCGATCGCCTCTCGGGGGATCAGGAAGGAATTTTTTTCTCTGCAGGAGCAAATTGGATCATGCTTTGTTGGGTTTTTTTGCCTTCCTCTGGATCAACTGTGAGTATAGGATTATAACTTTTTTTTTTTAATGGTTGAACTGGATGGATTTTTGTCTTTTTTCAGCCAGACTATATATCAATCAGAAATATCATTCTTAGTTCAAAAATTTTCCTTTCCTGGATAGTTTTGAAATTTCCTTTAAGAACTAAGATACTGAGGTCTTCCATAGTGTGGTCCGGTTGTGTGAAATGGTGTTCCACAGGTGTGCATAAGTCATCTTCTTTATGTTTCTTGATGGTATGTCTGTGCAAATTCATCCTTGTTCGCAACTTCTGTCCTGTTTCGCCAACGTAAGATCCTTTGCTCCTTTTTTTGCACTGGATAAGGTACACAACACTACTGGAGGTGCAGCTGTATGATCCGGTGATATTACATAGTTACATAGTTAGTCTGGCTGAAATTAGACAAAATTCCATCCAGTTCAACCATTAAAAAAAAAGTTATAATCCTATACTCACAGTTGATCCAGAGGAAATAAAAAAACCAGCAAAGCATGATCCAATTTGCTCCCGCAGGGAAAAAAATGTCTTCCTGATCCCCTGAGAGGCAATCGGACATTCCCTGGATCAACTTTACCTATAAAAGTTAGTATCCAGTTATATTCTGTGTATCTAAGAAAGAATCCAGGCCTTTTTTAAAGCAATCCACTGAGCTGGCCAGAACCAACTCTTGAGGGAGTCTAGTCCACATTTTCACAGCTCTTACTGTGAAGAAATCTTTCCGTGTATGGAGATTAAATTTCTTTTCCTCCAGGCATAAAGAGTGCCCCCTTGTCCTCTGTGATGATCTCAGGGTGAATAGCTCTACACCGAGTTCACTATATGAACCACTGATGTATTTATACATGTTGATCATATCCCCCCTTAAATATATATATTGCAGATCCCTTTTGAGGGTTTGACACTTTTTGATGGATTGATTTGGTTGCACAGTTTGCAGCTTTTTTTTATTGCAGGGTTTGCTTCCATTATTTGTGACATTACAGTCAGAAGGAAGTTTCCTACTGATTTGTTTATTTCTGAGGTTGGGGGGTTGTCTGAAAGCCAGTATTGGAGTTGCTGGAATATTTCTTTCAGAGTTCCATCCTGTGTTATGATGGGTTGTAAATCTTTGATTATTTTTCTTATCCCTTCTAGTGCTGAGTTGTATGTAGTTACTAGAGGTACACGGTTGTTTGTTTTTTCTCTTTGTACTGAAGTAGATTTTCCCTTCGGGTTCTCAAGGCTGTGTTTTTGCTGGTGTTGATAGTTTTGTCCTTGTAACCTTTCTTATGGAAGGAGTCTGCTAGTGTCCCAAGATGTTTATCTCTGTCTCTTGGGTCAGAACATATTCGGTGGTATCTGATGGCCTGACTGTGTATGATGGCACGTTTCGTGTGTTGGGGGTGGAAGCTGCAACTGTGGAGGTAGTTGCATCTGTCAGTGGGTTTCCTGTATATTGAGGTGTGAAGCGTATCATCCCTGATGTATACTGTGGTGTCTAGGAAGTTGACGTGTGTTTTGAGTATTCCATTTTTAGTTTGATTGATGGGTGAAAAGTGTTGATCAATGAGTAAAATTGTTTTAGGTATTCTTCACCTTCTGTCCATATGATGAAAATATCATCAATATAGCGATAGTATCTGTATGGTTTTTGTTGCATGCTGTTCAGAAATGTTTCCTCCAGGACAGCCATAGTATCACAGACAGTACACAATAAAACCTGGAAGTTGATTGTTTCTATGCAGACTTGCACCAGATTTTTCACTCTCCAATTTTAGTAAATCATCCCCAATATATATATATATATATATATATATATATATATAACATTGTAAACTTGTCTTTTCACATGTAATTGTACAGTATGTGATATTGTTAATTTTTATATTATTGATGTTTTGTTATCTACAGATGTTACCAATTTATACTCTGATCCCAATTGAAATACATGACGCATACAACAAGAGTAAAAACCTGCAAAAAGCCACCCGAGACTACATTGAGGAATACAGCACATGCAAATGCCAGCCATGTATGAATGGCGGAAGCTTGCTTGTGGTAGACGGTGAATGTTTGTGCAAGTGCCCAGACCAATATCGGGGTGTGGCTTGCCAGAAAGCGAAGTCCCCCCTATATCAATGTAAGTAAACTTAACTAAGTGAATGAGGCACTGGTGAGGTTGGGGGATGGGGGGGGCAAGGTCACACAGGTTTTCACCTTCACTGTAAAAATGCTCTTGTTTTAAGTATAAAGGCACTGTTCATACATTGGCAGTTGTTTGAAGCACAACTAATGTACTGAGAAATAGAACAAAATAGTAGCATTCAATTTTTTCATTGAAGAGTATTTTCTGCCAAAAAAAAAAAATTCTCCTTTTGCTGGCAATTGTTTTAACACTACTGCCTATACACAATGCAGTGTCCACTCCCTGCATCTGAGGCAGGATGGTGAGACGCTGACCTGCATTTGCAGGAGTTGCTTAATCGAAAGCTAGAGTATTGCTAGAGGAGGAACACATTGGCAGTCAGAGATGCTTTTATGAGCATGACACTGGTGTCGAGGGAGCATGGAGCTTCTATCACTGTGAAAGGGAAAAATGAGAGCTGAGATTGCCCACTGGCC